ATTATTATTGTTATTATTGTTATTATTGTTGTTGTTGTTGTTGTTATTATTGCTGTTGTATTATTGTTATTTATAATTTGTACAATTAACCTCCCTATGGTTCGACCCCGGTCTTGCCGAGTTATTTATTACTTCGACACTCCTGCACTTGGGAGAAGACAATAATATTTTAGTCGTGTCACTTGCACAAAAACCCGATCAACCTAGTGGGTTGACATGTGACCCGGGCAAGACCCGGCATATAGACACACACACACACACATACTTTCCTTTGATTCGCTAGCAGTAAAACGAAAGTTGAACAACTCATTAATTAGTCTCTACCCTAATTTCCTAAGACGAGCAGCTCGCCCCTGCTTTCCTTCTCTATTATCTTTTGCAAAACAAATAATTGGTTGAGATTTCATCGGAGAAATTGGAGTTTATTTCTACAGGTGCTCTATTTTCCTTACGCTGCTTACTTTTTTATGTTTTTTTCTTTGTTGAGATTTCTTATTACAAATAATTGCTGCAGATTTTGAATGATTCCCTCTTTTTTCCATGCTTTTTAAGCTTTTCTTCGGATTGGAACAGATAATTAAAAAAAAGTATTCATTTGACAACCATCCTTTAGTCACCAATGAAGAGAAACATCTGATATGATTTGCAAACATGAACTTTGTTGTTGTCGGTTTCATTCTTCATTAACATATTCACATTGAGCACTGACTGTGAAGGCATTTCCTCCATGTTGCCCGTATTGTTAGTTTTTGATCTTCTTGTTGATTGTTAGTTTTTTATCCTTGTTGATTGATTAGCTTTGCAATGGTGAACATATGGGAAATGAATCGAGTGAGCTTTAGTTTTTTCTTCTTCTTATGTTTTATGATTTATTGTGATGTTTAAGGAATCTATTGGATTTGTTGGAAGCTAATACCATTCTATTTTTGTTCTACTACTTAAATTTTAGTTACACAAGTATTTTATTCTTCATTCGGCTGCTTATGGTAAAAATGGGTAGGAAAAGGTAAGCAATTCATCACTGGGTTTTGCGGTTTAGGGATGATGGAGTAGTTTGATTTCTTTAATCTTTATATTTAAGGAGAAGGGTTGACCCATAAAACCTGTAACCCGATCATTTCTCCGGGTCAACTACCGAGTCGGGTTTTATAACCATGATTGTTATGAGCTAGCATAGAAGATTTGCAGAAAAAGTTGAGAGCTGCATTTACAAGATACATGAGTCCCGCTGGTAAAAGAATTTGCTGTCATTATTTAACACTTGGTTATAGGGTGTGATTGTTAAGAAAAGGTTTATTGACTGTGAGACTGGAGCATGTCCAGAGCCTTTCTGGTATATAATTGAGAATGATAAAGATATCGGAGCATGTTGGGTGTATAATTCACAAGAATACTCTTGTTTTACCCTGCCCACAGGAGCATGCCTTGTATTTTACTCATTTGGGTTTTCATATAATGGTCTTTAATTTCAAGTATATCATCCTTCTATCAAAATTGGAAAATGATTGGAATCTGCAAGCTGGAAAAACCCTTTGTTGCTACTGTTGGAAAATAATTAGAATCCCAAGACGACATAGTTTGCATTTTTAAAACAATTTTGTCCAAAACAAAATTGTTTCAGTTTTCTTTAAAAATAACTAAAACGACGTTGTTTTGATAACGAGTTGACCTAGCCAACCCATGACCTAGACCGGGTCTGATAACTATGATTTCAACAAAACAAGAATGGAATGTTTCTTCATTAATCGTCATCAAAAGCATTCCCAAATCCCATTGATGAAAAAAAAAGATGTAGAACCTTGTGAGAGTTTTCTCTTTAAAAAAAATTCAAGTTGTTTTTCTTTATTTTTGCAGCTTCTATTTGCCTCATACTGACTAGTTTGTTTCAAATCCATGTGCTCTGAATTATATTATCAATTTTAATTTATTATCAGTTAACAGAAGTGTAATTTTGATGCATAAACTCTTCTTTTTCTATAATTTGCAGTGAAAATGGCAAAAACTAAGGGTTCTTCCAAGAAGCAGCAAAAGCGTGAAATTGACTTCAAAGTGAGTAATAACAATTTCTTTCTTTCTTTTTCATCCTTTTTCTAAATTTCATGTCTTGTGAACTTGAATTGTTTGCCCTTTTTTTTCTTGTTAATTTTTTCATATGAAATAGGCTACCAGCCTACAAATGTAAAGTTAAAAATTTATATTTTTTTACAACCCAGGTTTTTAGGGTATCTTTGGTAACATGCATGTTAGAAGCATCAAAATGATGTAGCTTCCATGATTCTTGAATATATGTAGTTATATTACTTGTGAAATAATTTAGTGTTGTAACTCATTTTGAGCTTTATTTTTTTTATGTTTTAAAGAATTATACTTTCATTCCAATTTGTTTTTTGGCATTTAAAAAAATAAAAGATAAAAAAGACATTTTAAGGGGTGAAATAAGAAGAAAAGGAGAACAAGGGACTGATATGATTAAGGACTAAAAAATAATGGAAAACTATGCAAAAGAAAAGAAAAAAACAATTACAAGAATTAAACAAAATTGGAAAAAATTGAAAGAGGTTCCTTAAAAAGAGAAAATTTAACTAATTAGAAATCCACAATTAAAAAAAAAAAGCAATAGAGAATGAGGATCCTAGACAATATAAATAGAGAAAGAGTAACAAAGAGAATGCCAAACGTATAGATTAAATGAGAGATTCTTGCAAAAAGTATGGCCAACCAAAACACCTAGTAAAGAGAATATAAGAATAGAAAGAAAAAGAAACACCACTAGAATGAGGAAAAGAAGCAAAAACATTAACAACCTTGAAAAATTCAACACAACAGGCACTTTCCAACCTTTAATCTCCTAGCATTGGCGGAGGTGATTGACATTGCTGACACCAAAAGGAAAAGGAAGGAGTCATGCATGCGGGCATATCCATGCACCCCCTACCTTAGTTTACGGGTGCAAAGAAGCCTCGTAATCTTGACTAATTATCTGATACATGAACAATACACATTAACACTGTTTTTTATATCATTGTTTCTCCTTGTTCTAGCCTTTCGGTCCAATTCTAACCGACTCTAACAACTTGTGAAGATTAATTTTGAATCCCAATATGTGATTTATTTATTTTTAGAATAATTTATGATTTGTTTTATTAAATTTTGAATTACAACGTATGTTGAAGTTGATATTGTTTAAATAAATTCACTTCATGATTTTCTTTTTGGTTTGATTATGTTTCTTTATATTAATTGAATTGGTTGAAGTATTTATGGTGATCATGCTTTGTGAAATAATTATTTTGTGGTGGATTAATTTATATTTATGCAATTAAAATAAATAAGTTCAAACTCGAGTCTTTATTTACCATTATTTCAAACCTCATCCCATATCTTAAAAAGTAAGGATTAGGCTCGTTGTCAAGCCTATATATCAAGTCATTATCCTATGAATTTTTACATTTAATAAATATAAGCATTTAGTTTAGGTGAAATATTATATATTTTTATCATTAAAATCAAATAACAATGTAGTTTATCTTAGTTAGAATGTTTTCAGGTGATTTTTATATTTCCTTTAGCATAATCAAACCCATACTAAATTTTTTTATATATAAATATCAGTTAGGATTTCTTGCAAGCACAAAACTAAGTAACAACTTATTTTTTAAAATTTTATCCCGTTTACATAGTGAAATTGTTAAGATGTATCCCACAACACTTACACTTAGTGTCCATTTTGTAATTTATTTTAAATTGTAAAGCATTAAATTATTTTTTATATGTTTTAATAGAGTCGATACAGATTATCTATACTTTTATAAAAATATCTAAAATAACTCAAAAGGGTAGTTAGCTCAGGGATGGCCTTGGCTCCCTTAATTTTCAAAAATTCTAAAATTTCTTTTAAACTTTTAAAATGTATGAGGTATTCTTGTAAAATAGACCATGTATTATCAAAATTTTACTTCCTTACCCTCTTAACCATAATTATTAAGTTTGATTATGGATTGAGTGAATCAACTCTTGAAATAGAGAATTAATTGAAGACTATTCCAAAACAATGTTGTTTTGTTAAATGAAATGAGGTTGTTTCGACAAAAAATATGATAAAAATTAAAATGATATCATTTTGAGCAAAACATTTTAAAAAAATCTTTGAAGTCGACTTGGTCGGGTCTTATCCATGTTTTGCCAAGTCGCTTGAATCTTTGATTGACCTGCAAGGTCATCCGAGTTTTGATCAAGTTAATTCTTTATCCTATTTGAAAACAAACTCACTAGACTAAATTCAAGATTGACCTATTAGGTCAAGCTGATGTGATAATATACTCTCAACATCTTTGAAGTGTAGAAAAGCACTCTCATTTTCTTTTTATTTAAGCCATTATATGGTATTATACTTTCTATACAAAACACTTGGGGTGTAACGCACCTAATCCACTGTCCATATAAACATTATAAGAGGCGGCTTTTTGCCCACACCCCCCCCCCTCCTCTTTGTTTTTCTTTCCCCCTCCTCTTTGTTTTTCTTTCATCTTCATCCTTTTTTTTTAAATCATTTTCAACTTTCAACATATACTTTATCTTGAATTTTTCTTCACAAATTATTTCAGTTCGTTTTCTATAAGATTATCATGATCTTAAATAAACATCTCGACATTTAATTTTTGCTTGGTTTATACTTGGTTTTATGATGGTCTATTTTTATTATCATATAATTAAGTAAAAAATAGTTTTCAAGAAAAAAAAAATTTCTTAAACTCATTGTAGTCCATCATCTAAATTGCGGATTTGGCAGATTAAGTCGTAAAGTTCAGGTCAGTCCAATGTATTATCGTCTCAATATTAAAAAAAAATATCTTGAGTTTTTTTTTTAAATCTAAACCATATTTTGTACTAATCAACCAAGTTGTCTTTACATCCTTTAAGTTGTTTGAGTCATATCGTAGCAACTCTCACATGGTTTAGTTTTAAACATGGACAAAGCAATGTGTCGTGTCAGGAGGTTTCAAATTTGACTTGTCAGGTCAGGCTTAATAACAATATTAATTAGTTCCCTGTGGCATGAATATGTTTTTAAGTTCATTTTTGTTATTTGAGCCGCAACATAGCACGACAAAGTAAACTAGTTACCCTACTATATTAAAAAACTTGGGAAAACTTATAGAGCTTCCCTGTTCATATGAATGGGGAAGCTCCTCCTACTTTTTTTGGTTATTTTTCTTCTTCTTTTTTATCAATTTTATCCTTTTTTTTCCTTAATTTTTTCATTGGATTTTTTCTATCAATTGGTTGGGTTACATTTGGACTAGCCAACTTTCACGTGATTTAATTTTAAACTCGAGCTAGATAATAAGTTGGATTGAAAGTGGTTTTTGTCAATTTCATTATTTTTTATTCAATTTCATCCTTAGACCTTTTTTACTGGTTAACTGGGTTCTTTTTGGACAAATGAAGTTGATGGGGTCATATTGATCCAACTCTCATATAATTTAATTTTAAACTCATGATATATAATAAATCAAATTGAAAGGTTTCAAGGTTGACCTATCTAGTTGAGTTTAATAACAATTCCAAATAATTATTTATGGTCTGAATATTTTTTGTTATATTAAAAAAATAATTGTGAGTCCATAAATTATGTAATCAATTTCTTATTTAACAATTTAATCTATTATTTAATTTTTTGGATTTAGTGGTTAGCACTCTACTTTTAAAATTGAAATAGAAAAGAAAATACAAAATAAAGAATTTAGAGGAGAGAAACTCATCATCACTCAAAATTTTAAGATTTTTTAAAATTAGCATAGTAATTTAAAAGTTTTGACAGAATAACATCATTTAAAAAGCATCTAGTGAAACAATATATTTTTACCTTGTTGCCCTTCTGAAGCACAACATTTATTAAATGTTGTTATTGATAAGCATGACAAAATACTTTTCTAGCTTCTTAAATATATCATGCTTTATAAGCACGATATATTGTTTTTCAGGTGCTTTTCTCAAATACACGTGACACATATTTTGTTTTTTTATAGTTTTTTTCCTAATAAGAATTTCACAAGATTTACTGTCTTTTCAAAAACCTGAGATTTTTAAAGTCATGTAGCAATGTTCATCCAACTCTTATGATTTGTATTAGCCTTTAAACAAATGTAATTTATCATAGTGATTGGTTTAAGAGATAGTTTATATTGCATTGGGTAAAAAAAAACCTTTAAATACCATTTTGAGCCTATAAATTTCTTTTTTTTGGTAGCCATAAAACTTAGCATTTATTATCTTTATTGAAAAATTCATTCTAATTCAGCAATCTAGAAAGACTAATAAATACACTCTCAAAATATAAGAACCATTAAAAGAGACATGATAAAGTGAATAATTATTTGTTTTTTATGGAGAAAATTCAATCATAGGAATTCAATATCCATCACTTCTTATCATAGTTATGTTTTTTAATGAGCTTGAAATGCCTAAATGAGATCAAATTAATATGATTTCACTTTTCTTGTGATCTTATATTTCAACTGTCGCTTGCAGCCCTGGATTTACTTGTGTTTCCTACTATAGCATTTGACTTATAATCATAAATCAACATATTTCCAGAATACTTTTCTATTGTATTTGTACTTTCTTCCTTTAGGGAGACATTTTGTTTACCAAATTATAGCAAAGTGCTCTTTGAAAGTCATTGGGCTTCACATTTTCATCAAGCTTCACTAGGAAATAACCTTAATCACTAGCTCATTTCGAATTCAATTATGAAACGTAAAGCTCAACACCTCATCGACAATCAGGCAGGCATGCATGCTTATTATTTCGTTCTTTCTTTCTTTAGTTGGAATTACTTTATTTGTAAGTAGCTTTTTGAAGAAACTTTGTTGCAGTTTGCTTTCAATATTGCTGTCAATAACTCTATTTTATTTCAATTATGATCTTTTTTACAATAATAAAGGATTGTACTAGTCTTTAAGAGCTTGTTCATCTGTTAGCTTGTTAATAGATCATGGCATGATATATTCCTATCAGTTAAAAATTTCAGTTTGTTATCATTTTAT